TATTTTTCAACATTTCCTCTGCAAAACATTCAAAAGCTGAAAGCTGAACAAACCAGTGCAATTGCCTGTGGTTGGATCACCATATAAAAAAACACAATTAGTAAAATCAGGGACACATGATGATGTTCTCTAGCTGATATAATGCTAAATAAATAGTGCAAGCATCACACTCCCAAGTCATTGCAAAATGGAAGATCAAAGTTACCTGAGTGTTTCTCCCCCATATGTGTAGAAGCTGCCTCAACAATTTATCTGTATTTTGCATTAGGTGATTAGCGAATGCCTGGTCTATGGTTAGTCTATAGTTAAACTATTATCTAACTATACTGAACACTGAAACGTCATTTATGCAGTAAGTAAACAGGGTCACTGAGTTTTCAAGAAAATGACAGTCTTTGTATAGCTCATGCACTGATATTTTATTGACAGGGCATTGGTTTATTATTGCTTGCAAAAATTTGCAAGCATCATTAGTAAAGAATTTTCCCTTCTAATTTTAATTTAGAATCCCTGCAGGTTCCATTCCTTAATTCATTCTACCACTGTGGAGTTTGGTACAGATACAATATTTGCTTGTTCCCTCCACACCAAACCTCCATCTCCATAAAAAAAACCCAAAATATCAATTTTCTTGGCTTAATAGATCCTATACTATGGAACACTTAAATCATGGTAACTCATCAGTTCTACTGGTACTCACAGTATAATGATTTATCATACGTAACCAGTAATCAGCAATTTGCAGTTCATCCAGCTCTATGATGGCATACTGTTCCAGTATACACTTCAAATATTTGGCCTGTTCTGTGTTGTTATTTTTATTTTCTTTTAAAATGGTTTTATGAAATCATTTCAGGCATTGGATGGCACTGAAAACATTAAAATAAAACAATCGTTTATTTGCATAAACAATACAGCTACTGTGGATTTCATTCTACGTCAAATGATATCTAGTAAATTGAATTTAAGAGCAGTGCATACTAAAACATTCTAGATTGCTCAGCTTACGCCATCTTCTTTTGTGTTTGTTCCATTAGAGTAACTGGCACAGCCCTAAACCATCTGGCGGCACAACACTACACAAAAAAAAAACAAGTTTGGAAGGTCTATGAATTGTTTATTTTCTTTAATGCATAATCAGTTGGAAAATTCACTGACATTCATAATAAATCCTCCTGCAAAGTGATGAATAGCCACTTAAACAGGGCTATGCACTACCAGGAGTTTTCAAGCTTCAAGGTTGTTTAAAACTTTGATGAACTCAGTGATGATACCGCATTATCCCATACTGAATGATTATTAAAACAACAGTATTTGTGACCTAACTAATGGGGAGAGCTCCAGTCCTCCTGGTTTTCCATTAACTAATTGTCACGCCCTCTGCAGCCAGAGGGCACTCTTTCTCTGTCCTGTCCCTAGTTTCCGGTCTGCTGTCTTTCCTGTCCCTCTCTTTCCCTTGGGCTATATATTTCCGGGTCTTGCACTCTGTCCTCGCTCAGCATTGAAGTTCGGATGTCCTGAGACCCACCTAGCACCAGGGCGCCCCACGTCCGCTCCCTGAGGGCATAGGTTTCTATACGGCATTCCTGAACTCTTTGCACTATGAGCCCGGGCCTTTTTCCCGTCTCGCCGCTACGCATATGGGTCTTTTTCTGCTCTCCTGCTCCCCACGGTTAGTCCCTTTGGACGTCCGTGACACTAATCATATGGAGCCAACCCACTCCTTGAAAACTGCCCTCCAGTCTTCTAAACCTAAATGGAAAATAAAACTATGCCAAAATTGCAGTGCACTCATTTACATACTTTGAAGGTTTGACACCCTTCCACTATGAATATGGCTGCTCCCAAACATTTCAGGAGCAAGTGGCCTTTTACACTGTTTTTATTTCAATTATCATGTCAATAAAGCATATAATTTCCCTGTGAAGAATGACATAGCCCCATTTAAAATTATCAAAGCAATTGTATCTTTAAAATGTGTTACAGATGAGAGCAGGACATTCAGCCCATTTGGTAATTAGTACCTAAATGATCCAAGGATTTCTCTTAAATAAAGACAGAATGTTAGTGTAAAGAAATGCCTCCAGTTCTTGGTTTTAATGGATTTTATGTGTTTGTAAGTTTCCTGGTTTATTATTTTAAAAACAGTCCTCTCCTGCAATACTGCAAACTAAGAATGTCCTGGTTTTGTCAATGTCTTTACATACATTTGGATGCTTGAATGGATACTCTAGAATATTGTTCAAATACTGAATATTGTATCGATAACCCCTAATACTTCCATTTTGTTTTATGCCTGTGTTCAACACTCGTCCAAACAAATTTCCACATCAATCCCCATTATGCCAATTATGCTGTAGAAGGGGCTATACTTTGGGTGAGACATTACATGGAGGTGGACTCATTCCCCAAGGTGCTTATCAAAAGAATAGGGGGGTTAAACCTGTTATGCTGGCTAAATGCTGTCATTAATCAATTGGTGAGTGCTGGAGATCAATGGTCAATGTAGAAGTGGGTTGCCTCCAGTTTGTGAAGCGTATTGTGATCTTTATGATGAAAAAATACTAAACAAATGCAAGTGATTATTTATTGTTATTTTGTTACAATTACAGTCTACAGGGAATTACAGTACTATTGAAACCAGGGCTCGATGATTCCAGCCTATCTTTGGTAATTGTGATCAAATTTAGCTAATGCTATAGCCCAGATTACAAAAGATCTCTTGACCTCATCTTTAAAGGGGAACTGCAGCCCCAATTTCTCAGACCGGTTATGAAAAATAAACAAATTCATTGATAAGAGCAAAACTTGACAGATTCCAAATTGAGCACAACTTTTTCTGTACATTTTATTTTAATTGTGGTTTGAAATAAACTCATCAATGTTGATTGTTTCCATCCCTGAAATATAAAAAATAATGTTGCAGTTCCCCTTTAATTGTAAATGAGCATTGTAAATCTTTCCTGATTGATCAAGCCAAAGTGATGACAGTTCGAAGCTAAAATCCAACACCACTCCCTGTGATTCTCTTAAATAATTTAATGCTTGTGAAATTCCACAATCCACGGTGTGAATGCAAGACACATAGCAAATATTGATAGTACTCACACATTTGGTTCTGTTCTAAGTTTCATTGCTGTGGATAATTAATACAATTCAGATATATTTAGTGAAAAAATCAATCAAGTTTTTGTTAGATGTGGCTGATGCTACCTTTGCTAAGCAAAAAATAGTTTACAGATGGATGCATACTTCTGCATTTACAAAGCTGTGAATAAAACCAGTACATAATTTTATACTTGGACCTTTTTTAATTCTTTAAAAAGAAACGGAAGCTTGGGCTTTCAAGTACATTTTACAGTACACCCTGGAGTTCTTACTTTAAGCTAAAGTAAAGTTATTTCAGTAAAAGCATTATAAATAAATAATAGATACTTAAACCAAAACACATTTTGAGTGGCAGTCAGATATCTTACATCCCTGCTTTACGCCCTGGCTCAATCTTGAGTGAAAGCCTGTTTTCTAAATCTCTTGACCTTTATTAATATGAGATTCTAGTCCATGTTCCGTTGTGGATTTTGTCGTCTGAAGACAAGGGCAGCTGATATGTCATTGACTGAATCGCTGGGATGCTGTTCCCTCAGCTTCTCTGAACTAAATCCCTTAGTCAGATTATCTGGACCAAAATCAAGAAAATCCAGCAACTTAAGCAGTTTTTTTTTTATTCAGCATCATTAGATGAGAAATTTGTCCTGCATCTTTCACTAATCATAGCTTTGAAACAGCAAAAACACAAAAAAACACAATGGCAAAAAGTCATGTTGTAGTCTAACTTCAGGCCTGACAGAATGCTTCCTATTTATATTTCTGCAAAATACTGTATTCATGCAGTGTAACATGTACTGTATAATCCTCAATGAAGCCGAGATATACGTATTTAAAAACCTGCTACTGTATATTCTATCGAGCTACTGTATCGAGCATCAAAATGGTATTTAATTTGATTAGCAAGATGTAGAAATGCTTTACTACTTCAGCTTTCACAATTTTATAGCACATAGTATTTCTGTCTCTTAACATGCCAATAAACATGATAAATTGATAAATCAGCATGCTTCAATCTTCTACTACTTTACTGAATTTGTCATATTTATGTCCTTATTTTGAATTGAAGAGATGAATATATAACTGAAAGAATGAATGACATAAAATACTGATTAAAAACAGTCCAAAATTCTAAAACTAAGCAGCATTGATTGCTATAAGCTAGAAGTTTAAGCCTTTTACTCTGCTCTTGTAGCACCTGTTATTTTGCACCTTTCCAAAGCATTGCTGCAGATACAAATTAGCAGCTTTTTGAATAGCAGATGCAACTCCATCCTCACTAGATTTTATGTAAATGATCCTGTTTACAACTGTCCCTAATTTTTTTTTCTACTGATCACAACTTTGCTTTTAATTACATGAAATAAATTACTTTCACAGAAATATAAGCATTCTGCTGTAGCACCTGATAATTCCATAGCTGAGGTGTTACGAGACAGGCACAATCCGTTTATCTTGCTGATGAAGATTCCCGCACCACACAGTTAATTAAGTTTAATAGTGTTGATTGTGCCTCCCATCTAGCACAAAACCCACTTTGTCATGCAGTATTTCTCTCTCTTCACACAATCTCAAACTGCATTCTATTACCAAGCTATCCATTCCAGATGAGCTCAATGCATCACCAAAATGAAGACCTTATATTATGTCACGAGTGAGTTATCTGTTTTTGAAAAATTATGTTCGATATCTTTACAGCTGTCACTTCTCCAGTCAGTGTGATAGCTTGGGTTTGCTGCCAAGTTCCCCCTTTTCATTTTTTTTCCTTTAACCCCCACATTATCTTTCTGGTAGACTGAATGCTGTTCATCACCCAAACAGCATGCATGCACTGTCAATAAGCACAAAAAAAATGTAATTCACAGCAAAAAACAACAACAACAACACACACTTACCCTGACAGCTTTGCTATCTTCACAAAGCTAAACACATCCATACGTGCAGCAGGCTGTGGTCTCTTTTTATTCTGTTATTTTTACTCCAGATTCATGGTCTAAATTTCTCAAAAGCAAAGCAGGGTGAAGCAAGAGGAAGGTAGAATATCCCTCTTGTCAGGATTTGTGCATGTCTGAACAACTGGTGTGTCCCAGCGTAAGCAATGGAAATCCAGACCCGCTACGAAAAGATTCTGAACATATGTTTTCATGCTACATCCTTCAAACAGCATCTCCATCAGCTGCATAAAGCCATCCTCATTTAGTTTTCATCACTGTGGAATAATGTGCAGAGGCCGTGCGGTAACAACAGCTTTGAAGAGAGAGGGAGGGGGTTGGAGGCTGGAAAGGAAGGGGGGGGTAAATCACTACTGATGGATGCTCCGGGCTTCCTTCTTTTTTTCCCCCTGAAATGTAGGGAGAAGACTGATGTCTTTTCCTCCTTTATGTACTTTGAAAATGTTCAAGCCTCCCAACCGTCCACGAGGAGCAGGGACAGAACAGTATTAGGTGCTGAAAGAGGCGATGTGCAGGAGAGAGGGGGAGGAAGGAAGATGCTGCTCTGTGGGGTGGGTGAGCGCTGGAGCCGTGCTTTAGCAGGATGAATAGCTGCAGGCAAGAAATACCCTGTCATTCTATTTATTTGTATTGCTAAGTAAGCAATGCAGTTTACATATAGGAAGACAAGTCACACACAGCAGACAGATTTTAACTGAAGCATAGAAAACCCATTTAAACTGTAACTACAGATTTTGCATATGTAGGCAGAGACTTATTTCTATCCAGTTAATCTATATTAGAAACAATTTTGTTCTGCGATAGCAACATACCTGATACACTGTTGCAATGAATACCAATGCTTAAACTGACAATCTTGAGCTATTTACCAAATGCCTTTTCAGGGTGATAAAGAAATAACAATAAACCACAGAGGATAATTGCTGCCTGTAATAGACAAAAAAATACTGAATTATGAATGTCAGCATTACTATGTACATTTCAGTTGTCTCATTTGTTTATTTTTATCATTTATTCTGTTCGTTGTTCAGCATGGCATATGCAAATGGATCTCTTGAAAATGTGTCTTGGCATATGTCTTGTGAAGCCAAGAGAACTGCAGTTCCAATCACTTTTGCTCTCAGTCTTTGTCTAGATGAGGAAAGAAGTGCACTGCATAGACACAGCCATGACAGAACTGACCCTCTCGATGGAATCTGTTAGGACTTCACCTAGACTGAATGTACCACATTCTTTGAAGTCACATCCTTCAAAATGAGAACCTGTTATGAATGACATGTGCGAAAGTATCCCTGTGGGCACATACAGTACCACAAAACATACAGACAGATGAAAATAATATTACAGACACTCCTAAAGAAAACAAACCGGTTTGTTTCTTCCTTGCACCCTGCAAGGTTGAATAGGTGAACGAGGGCTGCCTGGGAAGGCAGGGGCTCACTCACATTACAGCACAAATCACATCTAAATTGCGGTGCTAGTATTTTTCTACAGATAGGTTTGGAGCAGAGCTGACCGCTGTGCAATGAAAAATACACCTTGTTTATTGTTTTCACAAACTTTGTTTATCTACTGTAATTCATAAATTTATTAAGTTAGTTCAATTTGGTCCTTTTCTGTACATAAATGTATGTACGGCTGACAACACGTTTAATTTTATGCATGCTTAATGAAAAGTAACATCTACCTACTGTTAAAAATTCTATGATGATCTGGAAGTGTCACTATCAAGTAATGTGCCTTTCTCCTGACTTAGCTTTATTTCCAACTCTACATCCCAGGACCATTAATTGAAAGGAATTTCTGATGATATTGGTCATTTTGGATATGGCAGCTTCTAAGAAAATGAAAATGAGCAGAATGAAAGTTTAAAGCAACAGATAAGGATGACTGCTTATAAAGCATTAAGAGTTTGTCCCCAGAGGCGTTATTGTCCCACTGGGATGCTGTCTCCAATAGGTGTCGGTGAAATTTAAAACCAGCTATCAGTTCTGACTTATTTTCACATTCAAACACAGGGCTTCTAATTGCTTTACCTCTTGAGTTGCTATGACAAAGTGCCAGTGCACACCATCATCACATGACGTCTTCTGAGGCCTATTCCAATCTTTTGGTTCACTTGCTCACCTATTGTTTTGTGTGTTGGATGGGTCACTTTCTTTGTATTTTTATTTTGGTGTAATTATTATAAGTGAATCTACACTATATGCGGGATGTATTGTATTGACCTTACCTATTGTGGATGCACATGTTCCACCATGTTGTGTCAGATTACAGAGCCTGTATCACCCCTGGATTAAGTGGAGGCTTTCAATCCTTCAACTGGAGATGGGGTGAGTCTAAAAGTATTTAACCTGGCACTCAGACTCAGTGTGAATTCTGCATTAAATTTTCTGTGTGTGACTAACACAGCCTGGTGCTGCTAATTCATTTTTTTCAGTAGATAGTAGAAACTTTCCTTGAAAGACTGCAGTTTACTCCTTACATAACCTGTTATTTTTACTTTTTTATAAATTGATTTTCGACACAGCACTTTCAGTAAACAAAGAAAGACTATTTGCACAGGCTGTTTTTGTTGGAGTTTTTATGCCATTTGTGACCTCTCCATGGGTTCACTTTGAGGTGTTTTCCTCACAGTAGCACTAAGGGTTGGAATTATTTGAAAAGATGGATTTTAGATTGATGACCTCTCCACTAAAATGAGTTCATAATATATCAGGTTTTAAAGTTTCCCACTTTCAGAACAAACTAATCTCTTTGATCAATATGGATTCAATCCAGATATAGAATACAGATTTACAGACAGGGTAAGTTAAAAGGTTGTATTTAGTACAAATTGCTTCAGAACCTGGGAATCCCCATAGAGTACAAGGGCTGGTACATCTACTAGGGTACCTACAAATTAGGTCAAATGAATTCTCTGCGCTTGTAAAATAAGACAATAAACCAAAGTTGTTTTTTTTATCTTGATGAGTTGGGCAAAAAATAAAACTAACAAATAGCTAAAATTGCATTTAGTTTTCTAGTCAGATGAAACTGTAAAAGTAAACTGTAAATATGTTGCTCTTACTACTACTTCTACCTTGCTTTGTAGACAGCATAATAGTATTATAATACTCATATACATTTAAAGGAGTGGCAGTTCCAAAAATATTATCTTAAAGCATATACAGTAAATATGACTGATGACTAGAGTCAAAGTCACAGTGAGTGGTTTCTGCATGCATCATGGACCAGGGACACAGTTGCTCTCCGTGTGAATTGTAATTGTACAAGCAGTATTAACAGAGGAATCGATACATATTTTTGTAGTTGATATGGATTTTTGGCACAAGCTGTTAGTATTGTGTACCAAAAATGTACATTTACAAAACAATTAAATTAGGACTATAAGCCACGTTTCATTGAGAGGAGAGCTTTCTGCCATCTACAGTAGCCTGTTTAATTGTTAGTAGCCAATTGATCTGATGATCTCATCTAGCTGTTTCTTAAAAGAGTATCAGTTTCAAAAACATGGCAGGACGTCTTGTTCTAGACTCCCCAAGATTTTTACTTGTGTAAAAATGTGTCTCTAGGTCTCAATCTGAATCCACTTTTAGGTGCTTTCCACCTGTGTCCCCTGTTTTTTTTTAAACTCCTGATTCTGGACAAGTTCCCTATGTTGACTTTGTCAGTGCCTTTGAGGATTTGAGAACTTGGATCAGGTTCTCTCTTAGTCTTCCTCTCTTAATCTTTTATCCTATCAGTGTAGGTCTTTCGTTTAAGCCCAGGAGTGTGGCTGATTTTCTGATCTGATTCTGGAGCAGTAGTATCGTTTTGTTCCACAACACAACTTTCTCAACCAGGTTAACTTGTTAATGTGTTTGTCTCATTTATTCTCAACTTTGTCTAGATAATGTACATTGCAAATGACATCTCAACACTTAAGTTTCACCACATTATGTCTCTACAGTTTTTGTTTTTGCCACCTGAGTGTCATACTCCTCCTTGTCTATACTAGATGTCACTGGGTGTTAGGCCAATTATAACAGCATAAAGTACCGAAAATGTTTATTTTTGTACATGAAATGTATGTCAACGATATTTAATTAATAAATCTCATACAGAGGAAACACTGTAACTGTGTAATGCCCATGTACCTGTATGGCCTTTCTTTTGAAATATATGGAGCATGTGCATCATGTGTGGAGATAGATTTCAAGGTACTGGGATTAGTGATTCAAGGGATCCTGCAGTGCCAACACCATAATTCTGTGTTCTTGGGTTTTATTTCCTTTGAGCAAATGTAAAAAAAAAGCTTCAGGGTGCTTGACAAATATTGCAGACAGTGCATTCTTCTCTTCTCCCCAAACAACGCAATCATAGATTTGATTTCACCATCTGCAGTAATCCAAATGACAATTTCCCTCCTCTCTGGGAAGCATATAATCCTCCGAAAGAAACATCCTTCATTTGATAAAAGATTCGTGTGGAAAAAAACCCAATGTGTATTTGGCACAGTACATACTATATAATCCTATTGTTCTTAAAAAATAGTTTATTTAACCTCTCCTTTTAACAGCTTGTTTTACAATATATTTTGTGGACATATATTTTTCTGTCAAGTTATTATTATTTCTCTTTCCCAATACCTCCATCCATGACTAATTCTTTAAATTAAGTGAATAAATGAATTGACATGTTTTGGCTATCATGTTTGGAGTGTTGTCTTATTGTTTGTCCAAGAGGGAAAACTTAACCTTCAAGTGACAAGATGTGAAGTGCTTTTTGATGATTCTGATAAACAGTATTGCTTTTCCTTTTATTGTGATAAGTACAGGGTGGCTGATGAGTGAGTGCTCTTTAGTCAGAGCTCTCTAGCTCTTTCGCAGTAACACAATCACCTTCCTGTGTCTGTGGTTGCCTGTGAGTGTCTATAATAATAGTGTCTATAATAATAGTGTCTATAATAATAATAATAATAATAATAATAATAATAATAATAATAATAATTGCTTACACTTATATAGCGCTTTTCTGGGCATTCCACTCAAAGCGCTTTACAGGTAATGGGGACTCCCCTGCACCACCACCAATGTTCAGCATCCACCTGGATGATGCGACGGCAGCCATAGTGCGCCAGAACGCTCACCACACATCAGCTATCAGT